ATACTGTCTTCTAAAATTACTGCAGCTACCTTAAATACTGATTGCTGTTGTAATGGTATGCAACAGCTCATGGTCTATTCTTTAAAATTATTAAGAGCCACTTAGTAAAGTGCTTAACAGCACAAATCTAATATCAGATTGGTATAAATTAGAGAAATAAATAAACTCTAAGCATGTTTACCAAGATATCAACCCTGCCAAATTTAGTTGGAGTTTATGGCATAGTAATGGCATATAATGACATAGTAAATAAAATTAGGATTGCAGATTCAGTTACATTGATTACAGTTCCTCATTAGGCTGTATCATTTAAAGAGTGTTTTGTCAGTTCAGTTATTTTTAGCAAATAATTATCACATCATCATTCCAATACTCAGAGGCACACACTATGAATTTTCAACACCAGTGAGTCTGTCTTAGCCTAATCAGTTCAGTTTTAATGCTTAATTATTAAGGTAAGGTAACTACCAGACATCTTTATTCCTGGGCTAGGTAGATTTTCTTAGGATCCAAAACAATCAGTAGTAAAAGTTCAAGTGATGTCAACAACAGCAACTTATAGTGAGCAGTATTCTGTACTGCTGTTGCACTTCTGGTCATTCTGTTGTGCTGCCAGACCCAGCCACAAGCTCAATGGGGCAGTTAGCAATTTTAATATAACCTTGAAATTTAATGGAGACACTTGTTTCCAGATTAGGACAGGTTATTAGAATTCATTTGTGTGAGCATCATTGGTCTGCACTGTTCTGGAAATGAGCATTTTCACATTTCTAGTCACTTTAACGACCAGGAATTCCAGATTGGATTAGCACTGGCTCACCCTAGTGCATGTGTACCATAGCATACTACCCCAATGCCACTAGTGTTCATGATGCTTTGAAGAACAATTGATCCCTGCCCCCAGGGATCTTACAGCCTAGGGAAAAGGGGGGAAAGAGGGCAAGGGTAAAATTGTTAAGAATACAGTGGTACCTCAGGTCATGACCAAATTGGGTGGAGAACAAAAATTTCGTGAAAATTTTGACATGTGTTGTGAACTCCGCATTGGGTGGCAACCAAGATTGCAACCGTCTTCCCCTCCCACCCCAAGTGGGGAGATGGCCACGATCGCAGTTGCATTCATGCAGGGAAGACGTGCATGATCATGGGTGCGCTCCTGCAGGAAAGACGGGCACAATCTCAGCCATCTCCCCTCCCCACAAACAGCATGCTCATGGCCATCTCCCCACCCCCACCCCCGAGTGGGGAGATGGCCGCGTTCATGCTGGGGGCGGGGGGGGGAGATGGCCAAGATTGCACCCTTCCCCAGCGCACCCCGTTCACGTCTGTCTCTTCCCCCCACCCCCCCATGTGCCAGGATGACAGGTGCACACAGGGATGACAGGCACGATCTCGGTCATGCTGGGGGGGGGGGGGCGGGGAGATGTCTGCGCTTGTGCTTGGGGTGGGGTGGGGGAGATGGCCACAATCTTTGTTGTTCTTTGTCACTTTGCTTCACATTTTTCTGATTTAAAAAAATGGTTACAGACTGGATTAACCTTATTTACATTGAACCTTATGGGGATATTTAACTTGGCTCACGACCAATTTGGATCACGACCAGAGTCCTGGAATGGATTAAGTTCATGAGCCAAGATACCACTGTAAGTACATGTGCTTAGGTTTAGGGTAAGTAGGGAATAAAGACTTGGGTTTAATTTCAGAGTTTTCCTAGAAAAGTAGGGTAAAGTGTGTGTGTGCATGCACACCATAATGCTTTAGTTCAAATGATGTCCCAACATACCTTTTAGGTCTCTACTTTTTACATAATAAAGTTCATGTGTTTCAAATTGTTAAAGACCTTTCAGGTGGCTAGACCTTTTGAACAGATATAAACAAATGGGGAAACTGTTTTAGAAGTAGGGTTTACTTACAAAAAAGGAACATAAATTCTATATATAGAAACTGAAATAAAGCTTAACTAATTTTGGAAACAATGCATATTTCATGTCAAGGTGAGTGAAAAGTTACAGAGAGTCCATATTTATCTAATCATTTCTAAACCAAGTGTCTTTGGTGTCTCGCAGCTGGCAGAGACTGCTTGTATGCATGGAGTAGCTTAGGCCAGCCAAATGCAATATTGGAAACAATCTACTTTATCTAGGAAAGGTTTTACATTGGATGATGAGATAATACCATAGGAAAGGACCATTTCCAGTATCTGTCTGACATATCATTTTACTAGTGATTTTGGCATGCACTTTAAACGGGAAAATAAACAGATAGTTTAAGGATATAAAATAATTATCAAGTTTCAAGGATTTTTGACAAATATCTGACAAGTTTGAGCCATGGAAACACTTTTGACTTCTGTTTAAATACACTTACATACTGCCTGATCTATCCCTGGACTTGGTGCAACTCCATTCTTTCTTATCCAGATCATTTGACCTGTACAGAGGCTATTATTGTAATTAGATGCCCTTTGATTTCTTATAGTGGCAGGTTTGTTCAGTTGATAACATAAATGCTCATATTGAAGTACAGTGGGGACAGTATTTTGAAATATGCTTACAGTGAGAAATCTGTACTTCATACTTTTTAAATTTTTCTCGGGTGCAATTGGATTTTATTAGATCTCCCATATTTTAGTCTGTAGTTAATATCTCTAAAGCAGGAATAAGCAACCTTGTGCCCTCCATATATTTTGGATTACAACACCCATAATCTTTGGTTCTTGCCCATGGTTTTTGGGACTTAAGAAATTTAAAGGTTAAAATATCCATGGGGTTCCAGGTTGCCTAATTCTGCTGCAAGGACAGTTAGGCTATTGATGTGAATCTGCAGTTATAAGCATTTCAAAACATAGGACAGAGTAAAATGAAAGTCTAGGGTCTCTGTAGCAGTTCCCATGCCACCAGTGTAGAGATTTCTTCTAATTCTCATCAGGCTCCCTGCTCCTCCTGATTTGAATTTTCAAATTTATATTTATTTATTTAAACTGGGGGTGTCCATGCTGCAAGGCAAAGTGCTGCCCTCTTGTATCACTTTTATATAGGTGTAAAGAGGAGTTTGTTGCTCAGACATCACTTCTAGATCAAGTTACTTTTCTTTTAGTCTCAACTGTTTGCCCTCTAGAAAATGAATGTTTTGAAATCGTGCCCCCTATAAGTATATGAATAACCATGGCAGCCCTTTTGTAAGAGTGACCATGCTACTCTCCAGTTTCCAAATGTGGCAACCCACCCAGCATTAGAATAGATCTGTTTTACTTTTAAAAGACTGTTACATCATCAGTTTTATGTTTGGGGATAGGGTTAAAAACTCCCTTTCTTCAGAGAACCCTTTCAAAATATGACCAGTATCCCCCTGAGGTTGTATATTATGGGGAAGACTACCAGTGTCAAACAGACTGACTTGTACATGTATTTACTAGGCAGAAGGGATTTCATTAGTGTAAAGAATATAAATCAGAGCACGTGCTTTGTTTCTAGAACATGCCTGATATAATTCCTAGTATCCAGGGGAGGTGTTGGGTACTGAAAATACTGGTCTATAGTGTTGTAAGCATCTGTGCCTCTGAATGCAGAAACAATAAGCTTTGTGCCAGTTTTGCTACGCTAGTAAGAGAAGATTGCAAGTAAGGTCAGAGGAACAAAGTAGAGGAACAAAGTGGAAACAAAGTTGGATAGATCCAGGCCTCTTATTCCAGGCCAACGTCTGGATTCTTAGTTGAACGGTACTTTACAAAGTTGTTGGCGGTTGAAACTCATTACTTACTCCTAAGTAATGTGTAGTTGAAGACGCTGAAGAGGGAATCAAGAAGTTTAAATCACTTCAAATTCTTGGAGATTACTCAAAACACTGTAATAGAGGCATAAATAATATGCATACCACAAGTGAGAAAAGATAGCACAAAGTTCAGGAAATCACCAGCATGGTTAACACTTAGAGACAAGTAAACTGTTAAGGAGGAGAAAGCTGCCTTCAGAAAATTGAAGTCATGCCCAAATCAAGAGAACAAGCCTACACAAGGGAGATGCAAGTTGGCAATCAGAGAAGCAAGGAAAGTTTCAGGTGCACATTGCTAACAACAAAGCTAACAATGAAGAATTTTTTAAATATATCAAAAGAAAGCAGCTAAGGAAGCAGTTGGGCCATTGGATGATAATAGAATTAAAGGAGCACTAGAGGGGAGTGGGGACAAGGAGATTGCAGAGAAGCTGAATGAACTATTTTCAACAGCATGAGGATGAAGAACAGACACCTGTCCCTGAGCTTATGTATTCTGGAAGGGAGTCTGAGGAATTAAGGCTGCTAGAAGTTGCCCTTGGTCTGATCCAGCATGGCTTTTCTTATGTTCTTATGTTCCCATAGATCATGTGAATTGTGTGAAAACAAAATAATTAATGTTTAATCTTTTCATCTTGAGATAACTGTATGCATTCATTTGATTGCTTGTTGCAAAGCATGGTATGTAAAACTAAAATGTTAAATAGAAGAGAAGTAACAAGAGAAATACACACTTTTCTTGCCTGAAAATACCAATGGTTTTGAGAATATTTCCACTGTTTTGATTTTTGACTCTCTGGTTTTAATTAAGGACACATTAATAGCTGTTTAAAAATCATGCAAAGTATGCAGACATATGGATGTTCAAGTGACATAAAACAAAAATAAGCCTGTCATTTTAGCCATAATGCTCAGTGTATAAATGGCATTTTAGTTTCCATAGAATATGAAACTTGATTAATCTATTATGAGTATGGTTGCTGTGCTTAATCCAAAAAAGACAAACCAGATCCAGAATGGTTAAGATGATGTATTTATTGGGTCATCAGTGTTAATAAATTACCAGTCTTTTCAGATCCATAAAGCTCTTGCAAAGTGTGATTTTTTTCATTGTGCTCAAAATGTCTGGTTGATTGGGTATTTGTGGAATGTATCTAGAAGGTAGTAAAATCAATAATACATTGCATTATTTCTGCGAATTATGTCATTTTGATTTATTCTTTGAGCAGGAATGAGAGGAGAAATGTCACTTGGACGCCAAGAAGCATTTGAAATATTCAAGAGAGATTATGCGGATAGCATAACCATTGAAGACAATAAGCAGCTCCTTAAACAAAGGTAAGATTTACACTGAGCTATAAAACTCCAAGAACACACTCTGCAGGCAGAAATGCATGATTTTGTCTGGGATGCAGAAGCCAGTAAAGATTACTAGATTTAAACAAATGAATAGCCTGATTGTTTGGCCTATTCAGTACAGCGAAGGGTGGGTACAATTGGGTGCAAGAGCCATTGCTTCAATGGAGCAGCTCAGGAAGACACAGCTTCATTATGCAAAAGCTTCCAAAAACACATGTATGAAGTAGAGTGAGAGGGTACGATCATCAATCTTGTCCATGTCAAGAAAACCAAGGTTATTATTATCCCATGTTATAAATATGTATTGAAATAAAATCAAGTGTCCATAATCCAAACAACCCTGAAAGAGGATGGTTATATTTTCACAAGAGTCTAAGTGTTATACCATACATCAAGCATGCAGCAAATTGATACCATCAGATACTTCACAGACCACATTGTCATCCCTATGTCAACATAACGTACTTCTCGATCTCTATACTCTCACCAAACACAAGTAAAAAGTCAGTTTTGTTTACTACCAATCATTTCCCTGTTCTTAAGCCTAGACAAGCTTTCAAAAGTGATGAAGGATGGGTGTCATTCAGTGGCTTGCATTATTATGCAGAACTATTACTGTTTGTATATCATCTTTCTTGGAAAAAAAATGTACTAGAGTAGAAGTTTTGAATTCATGTCTTAGGAACTGCCTAAGATGTAGGGAGACTTTGAGAATATGGAAAGTAAACCAAAAGCCATACAAAGTTTATATATTCTATAAAGTGATAGTTTCATCTTTGAGCTGAGAAAAGCGGATCAAAGGAAATGTGCACATCCCCTGAAGGCCTCCAGAATACTTCAGGATACCAGAGGAAGGAATAACAGCAGTCAGAAACCTATAGAGAATAGTAAAAAAGACTTTAACTAGTTTCTCACATTATCAACACCACGTGCAAGCTATACACCATACACATTGAGGTGATTAGAGATAATGTCTGTTGCTTTCTTCAAAGTTCTGGCTTTGGAGAATACTTGCAAGGTAACTTACACTGTCTTTCATCTCTTTCTATCATTATCATTATGGTATGCATTGCATTTATATCCCAACTTTCTTCCTCCTTCAAGGAACCCAAGGGAGATTACAATTTTCTTCTTTTCTCCATTTTGTCCTCACAACAACACTGTGAGGTAGATTAGACTGAAAGGTAATGATTGGCCCAAAATAACCCAGTGGGCTTCATGGCTTAATAGACATCAACCCTACCCCTACCCCTGAGACATTGTGAAGGGTGGAATGTAAAAGTTTTAAATAAATAAATACTCTTAATCACTATACCACACTTTCATTATGAATTATCAAAATTTAAAAATAAAATAACTGTGCTATCTATGATCCTTTGTCTCAAGAGTATTCATTACAAGGACGATTCTGTCATTTTTAAATCAATAGTCATTGTTCATACTTCCCCAGCTTGCAGAGAAGCCAGCATAATAACTGCATCATACATGGAAGTACATAGCAAGTATAAAGAAGAAAATACTTGTTTACTTACAATTGCTACATTTTACTTAACATTCTGAACAGTCATGCATCCTGTCTGGCATCCCCTTCATAAGATGGTGGTGGTGGTGGTGGTGGTGGCGGCGGCGGCAGTGGCGATAAAAAATTGAATAGGTCTTTCTTGCCTTGACTCATTTGTCATATTTAAAAGCCTTAAGCAAATTGAGAGACTGTCATCTTTATCTTAGAAGTTCTAAAAGCATCTAAACTATTGTCTTCACAGGTACAGTTCTGTATATATAACTATATATTGGGGGTTTTCTTAAGGCTGAAATGTAGCATACAAATAGTATTATAAATGACTACTAAATACACAGAACACCAAATATTAGTTAATAATATTCTTTCCTGCACAGAATAGCCTCTTTAGTGAAGCCACACCCACATGTAAAAAAAAAAAATCTTAACATCCTGCTTTGCATCTGGAAATCCTATCTGATATTATGGTCATTGAATTATTTTGTCTTCTTTTCTAATTGCCAGATTTCTTGCAGACTTAACACCATTACCTTTTCATTTTTTGTTATGTGCCATTATCTCCAACTTACTCCCACCCCATATGTTTTGAAGACCTTCAGTCAAAGGTACAAAATAGGAGAGAAACTTAATATTCATATACTATCTCTTCAAGAAAGGTTGCTTGATCAATGGATCATAATATTCCATTTCTACATTTGGCATACTAATATGGCAGATCTCCAGGATTAGCTGCACATAAGGAGAACCGTGAAAGTGCTAGAGGTAAACACAGGTATTTAGACAGATTTCTTGGATCTCTTTCTGTAGCCATCTCACAATCTATTAACTTACCCTTACCAGCTGCTTTTGATTCTTGTTCTTTTTAGTAATCCTTTTAATATATTATTTCTTCTGGTAGCCAACATTCACTCTACCATTCATACTGTGTTCAGAATCATTACACACTTGGTTATTAACTTCTTTATTATTTCTGGAATATTTTCTATATTTTAAATAATTACTTAATTAGGGTACTTCATACCTGTTGAAGAGATCTTCAAGTCAGCTGCTAATCATAAACGAACTATAGCATAAAAAGCTACAACCTTTACATCAACATATCTCACAATGATGGTGGTGGCAGGTGCCGGGGCTTCATATCTCACAAAGATGAGGGACTTCAATTTCTCCAGTATCTGTTGTGAGGCAAATTCTGCCAGAGTCCAGAATTTGCCTCCCAAGAGATCTCAACCTCCAAGAGATTCCTCGCATGTGTTGCTGGTAACTTCCTCCAACAGAAAGTGAAGGAAAAAGAGGAATGGCTATCCTTGACTTGATGCTAATCAACAGAGAAGCCCTGGTGGTCAAAGTGGCAGCTACAGGAACTCTGAGGGAAAGTGACCATGCCATACTTGAATTCTTGATTTTAAAGGAAGCAAAAGCCAAATGTAGCCAAACATTTACCCTGGACTTCAAGAAAGCTAATGTTAATAACTTAGAACTGTGATAAAGTCCCATGGCAAGTGACTAATGACAAAAAGAGTCCAAGTTGGGTGGGAATTTTTTGAAAAGGAAATTCTAAGGAGCTATTACAAAGAATTTCAACAATGAAAAAGGGTAGCATTCAACAGAAGCACCCCATGTAGCTTCACAAAAAGCTTAGGGATTATCTGAATACTAAAAAAGGACATGTATAGGAAGTGTAAGGCCAGGGTACAAAGGAAGAATATGGGCAGGTAGCATGGAAATGCAGGGAAGGTGTCAGGAAGGCTAAAGCAAGGAATGAACTGAGGCTAAAAGCAACAAAAAAGCCATCTTCAGATATGTCCTAAGTAAATGTCAGAGGGAAGAAGTGGATGTTCAACTATTCAACATGAAGCATTTTGTTCCTTTCCAATACAGTATGTATAAGTGGTAGTATTTCTCTCAAATATAGATGCCTTTTCCGACAGAGCATAGCACTTATTCCTCTCTTATGCACAAATCGCAACTATGATTTTTCTAGCATACTATAAATCTCTTCTGAGTTTTGTAAGCTGCTAAGGATGCCTTCAGTTTTTAGGTCATTTGTTTGAGGATGATTGTAGCCAGAAAGTGTGCAATAAGTGCAAAAATTCAGAACTGACATTTGAATCAAAAGCTTTAAGTTGTGATCCTGACACCTGTTCAGGAGTAAGTCACATTAAAAAGAGTGCTTCGTACATCTGAGAAAACATACAGGAAAAGGTGGTGCATATTTTTGTGCAGCAGGAAGAAAGCACCTTGCGTTTTCAGATTCAGTAGTAGTGAGTGGTTTATGAAGATTCTGCCTGTCAGTGGGGCTCCGTAAGACTGGGATGCTTATAAGTGGAGCCATTTTACTGCAGAGAGATCTCCTCTAGCTCCAGCATCTGCCTTCAGGGAAACAGGAACTGCTTTGTGGCCAGTGGTCTTCCAATTTACTAATCCCTTTAATTGCTTCCACACCCAAAACACAACTTTTGTTACTTGTGTCATTTTTTAAAAATAATCTTATTTTTATTAGAACCTTCGTCAAGCAGAGGTTTCATTCTACAGGGAATAGACAATAGCCACTTCTACTGATGAACCCTATGTTCTACAAAAGACTAAGGGCTTGTGCAGAATCATCTCTGGGACAAAGAGGAACAGTTTCCTACAAAAACAATAATGTATTGTCATGTTCGTGGAAATTGCTATAGACATTCTAATGCAAACAGGGCAAGGGAAACCTTCTCCTTGCTGTTTGCAGTGTACATTAGCAAATAAGCTTTGGAACGCTAAATACATCACACTTGTTCAAAACAAACTTCTTTCAGATCTACTCTGTAATTTGGAACATAGCTGCTGAACCACCATTTGTTCAGAAACTCAGTGACCCAGCCACTGTTCAAATTGCTAAGTAAGGATTATATATACAACACATTTCAAAGTTAACATAACTTTCTCCTAAATGTAAACCTTTCATATACTTGCAGTAGGATTGCCATGTTTTTCATTCCATTCTTGACATTTGGTTCACAATTATTTCTATTCACTGTATTTTATTTTCTTTGGCTTTCCCTCCATTCCCTCTGTGTGTGTGTGTGTGCATGTGTGTGTATGGTAGATTTTGCCATAGACCACTAGAGCAATTCAAAAGTTTTGTAGCACTTGGAGATATCTACATAGCTGCTTTTTATAGATTTCCTTGTGCTATTCTGTGGTAGGGTAGCCCTGCCTGCCAGTCTCAACCGCACTAGCATTACCTCCTCAAGCACCTTATCTTCCTTCTAGTTTGCCTACAAATTGTTTCCAACTTGCCAGTGTGCTTAATCATAAAATCATAGCATTGGAGAGGATCAAAAAGGCACCCAACCCAACCATCTATCATAAAATTTTATCCCATTAGTAACACCTCCCACGATCAGCTTATGTGATCCAGACCACAGTGTACCACAAGTAAATGCACTGCAGAATGTACCTAAATGACTCCATCCCTATTTTGTGAGTCTAGTGACATAGACAAAAACACATACCAAAATAAAATCTACAGCTTGAAATCTCAGCTGCTTCATATACTTGAGAGAGGTAGCCTTGCTAGGCTTCTGCAACAACAACATTGAAGTGCCTAGTTTAAATTTTTGTGGCATAATTTCAAAGCGTGCACAAATGTTGCTTCTTTGGGGATGTGTGCACATATGCACAGGTAAACACACAGGTGTATGATGCCTGATGAGTTGCTTCAGAGGATAGTAACAGAATATGACTGCTGGCTGAGCAGGAGGAGGATGTCTTCACCCTTTCATGTAGGTGTGGTATCATATCAGCAGAGTTGGAGTGTCAGAGAAGCTAAGCACAATGCCACTATGAGGCCAGACTGTCCCATGGGGATGGTCTCCTAGCAGGGTCACCCAAGGCAGAATGGTCAAAGCAGAGAAACCAGACTAGGAGTCATCCACTCTCTTCAGGGGGAATGGTCACATCAGCAGAAGAGAATGGTTATCTCTAAAGGTAATGGGGGCAGAGAAACTCCTGGAAGGCAGCTGTTGGGCAGCTGCAGTTGCTGAAGGTGACAGGGGCAGAAGATCTTTCACAGACAGTGGCAGTGAAGCTCAAGCTAACTCTCGTTAGTGCTGTGCAATGGAAGGCAATGGCAAACCATTTCCGAATCTTCTTACCTTGAAAATGCTCTGATGAAACAATCCAAACAAGAGATAGTGCCAGAAGAAGACTCCCAGGTTAGAAGGCGCTCATTGAGCTACTGAGGAAGAGCAAAGGACAAGTACAAATAGCAGTGTTGCTACTGACCCCACTAGATCAAAGCCAAAAGGAAGTCTGGTGGCTGGTATGCACAGAGGTGAAAGTACAATGCTGGAAAGCACATACAGCATTGGAACATGGATGTAAGAAGTATGAACCAAGGCAAACTAGAAGCAGGAAATGGAACAGCTGAACAGTACTCACTGCACTGCACTAAAGTGGACTGGAATGGGACATTTTCAGTCAAACAAAAATCAGTTTACTCTGGAAATGGCTTGAGTGGTTCATTTGTTTATATGGCTGAAAAAGTGAGAACTTGGCCACCTCTACTCACTATCCTCCTCTCCATTTCACCAGAAGCCATTAATGTAGGCACAGGGGGAATAAGGGACTTCAGCAATTGAGCCTGAAAGCCATGAAATGTAAAGAGCAGCAATTGGACTGTGGGAACCATGATATTGCCCTTCTCTGATGAAGCTTTGCATCAATGACTCACTCATCCAACTCAGCTGCAGGTGATGGTGCCCAGAAATTACATGTTTGTGTCATTGGACTGTAGCTCAGAAGCATAATTTGAGGCTCATGGGGCTTGGCAAAGGGATGGAAAATTCAAAAGCAAATACTGGATAACAAGGAGGAAAGACACGCTACTTCCCAAATGCTAGACAATGCAACGACCCATAAACCCTTGAATTTTTATCCAGAAACAGGTGATATAACTGAGTTGGCATTCTTTTTTCCTGAAAAGCATGGTGTTGTTTTTTTAAAACTAGCAACACTGCAGAAAAAAGGCAATGACTCTGCTAGAAAAAAGCCTCTGTTCCCTAATGCAGCGGTCCTCAAACTGTTCCGCAGAACCCTATGATTCTGCAAAAGCCTCTAAAGGGTTCTACAAAAAATCAAATTTAAAATGGATTTTTAAATGAAACCACATGAAGCCAACTATTCAGTTGTCAGTTGACATCCAAACAGCAAATAAGGAAATGTATCACATTATCTGGTTTCTAGGACTATTGCATAGTGTTGAGAATAATCGAAAGAATTCATTTGAGATATTACCATCTAATTGCTTTATTCATACATTATATTTAAAATGTTTTTTCATTATTTCCAAACCTACTACATTATGCAACGCACTCAGGCAATAAGAGCAGATGAAAGAAGGAAGAATGTTGTGGGTTCACAATGCTTAGTAAAAATCAGGGATAGAGTAAGCCTTCTACAGGGGAAAAAATGTCTTCAGAAAGGCTCCATGACTGAAAAAGTTTGGGAACCATTGCTCTAATGCTCACAAGCATTTGGTACATCAGAGCTAAACCAAACCTGGCACTGGAGATCTGTAGTCAGGCTCTTCTGCATTTTAAATATGAAAATATCAACTTCATTGTGGGGGAAGGAGTCCCATTTGCAGCCTCACAAGTAGCAAAGTGGGTTATCCCCCCGCAGGCATTTCCTAGATCAAACTGACACACACACACACACACACACACACACACACACACACACACACACACACCCTGTTGCTGTAACTAAGTTCAGAAATATACAAGAACCATATACATGACCTTTTTTTCCCCAGGCAGGAAAATAAAAGGTCCAGGGCATGGGGAAATGGCACATAGGGAAAGGTTTAAGAAAAAAAAACTCTTCCTACACTGTCATGATCCCAATCTTCCTGACATATCTGAATTTTCCATGTTGTGCCTAGAAGTTCTTTAGACAATCTCCACTCAGTACTGGATGCTGGGGGCAAGATCTAATTTTTTCTCTGGTGATCTTGTATTGGGGAATTGCTTTTCATTTCACAAATAGCAGACATCTTCTTTGATTATATTAAGTCAGCTACAGAAATAGCATACTTTTAAAAGCAACGCAAATGTTACCAGAACTTCAGCCCTGCTTTTTATAGGAAACCAAGTGTTGAAGAACTTCCTCAGCAGGGCCTAAATTTATTCTTTTTGGGTTTAGCTTTAAAGCAAGTGAGCATGAGCAAAGAAGGGTGTGGAGACCTAAAATACTAGCTGCTTAGAATTTGAAAGAAAATGTGACTAATTGAAAGGAAACAATTGCCCAAGCGTCTCATGTGGAAAAGTGCTATTTCTTAGTTTTGTTCCATTGCTAATTTTGTTAGGCAAAAAATGTCACTTGTGGCTTTTGCCAATAGCTGCTGCTAGACCAGATCTTGCCTAGATAATCAGTTCATCCTAAATCTCTGCTAACAATAATGATTATACACATCTGAGTAACTATTTGAAATTTTATGACATGGGTACTGTCCTGGCCACAAAACCATAACAGAATGAATCATCCTGCAGGTGTCCTTGATTTATTGCAATGGAATTATCTTTAAATATACCTTGAATCCTTCAGTTTTATTTCTGCTGTTGTGCATTCATATAAGATTAACTGTGGATAGCATTACATTTTTTAAGACTTTGGCTCAAGTATCACTGCAGACTGTAAATATCTCTGCAGAAACAGAGGTTGGTAGAATAACATTGCCAATTTCTAACCAGCTTGAACTTAGGGAAAGTTAACTCTGACAGTTTCTTCCTGTAGTCATTACTTGCTGCTGTTTCTTCAGTGGTAAAATAGCTTGATCCTTTTCTTACCTAACTGTTTTAGTCTTCAGGATATTTGGATGGGTTCAAGGATTATTAGATGAAACCTTAAAGCAAAAGTGGACAGCCTGAAAGTCTTCATTGGGATATTTTTGAATATTATAATAATTTGTGCTATGAGTGGTTCTGTTTACTAGCAACTGTGCTAGTAAACAATTGGTTCTAGTTCTTGATAGAGCACTGCCCTTCGATCCTATTTTGCCTATTCAAAAGATTTTAGGATATCTTTACATCTTCGTATAGGTAGTTGGTAGTTTGTACTCTTCAGATTATGCACAGTCCAGGAGTTAATTTCAGAGTTAGATGTGTCTTGTCTCTAGAGCTCATGCATGTGAACATACATGAAGAAACACTGAAGGACAAACCTATAATGACTACTGCTTGCTAGAGCTTAAACCAATATAATTAACTGGGACCCTATGCTTTCCAAGCAGCAACATCAATAATAAGATAATGACAGTGGAGGAGGTCACTTAATCAGAGTTCTAGCAGTTACATAATCACCCACCAATTACTCCAAATAATGCTCCCACTTTAAATAGTCACAGTCAGCGCTGTACATTGAATACTAATGACACAAAAGGCACTGAATTTCTTCTGTGCTGCCTTCATGCACCCAAAAGTATGTGTGCATGGCTCAGTGATAGAGCACAGGTTTTTCATGCAGAAAACCCCAGGTTCAGTTCTTAGCATCTTGGAGGGCTGAAAAGAATTCTTCCTGAAATCTTGGACAGTTACTGCTAATCAGTGACCTGGCTTTCACAATTTCATCCTGGTTAACAAATCACAGTGGCTTGTTAACCCTGCTGTATGTTTGCCAGCCAGGTTTCCCTAATGACCCTCACTGGTAGAACATTGCTTGTTTGTAGGGGAAAACTCTTAACACATGGACTGTTGTATATTTGAGGGTTTATGTTCACCCACCAGGGGACTGCAGGTGGCACAGTGGTTTAAACTGCTGAGCTGCTGGGTTGGTTGATCAAAAGGTTGACAGTTCGAATCCACAGGATGAGGTGAGCTCCCGTGCTTTGTCCCAGCTCCTGCCAACCTTGCAGTTCGAAAGCATATAAATGCAAGTAGATAAATAGGTACCACTTTGCCCTTCACAGTGTCTCAGAGCAGTAATACAATAAAATAAATAAGATATAGCATCCAGAAATAATATATAAAATCAATCTTAAAACACTACTAACATTTAAAATAATAGGAACATAAAAAGGTTTTGGCCTGGGGCCAAAATGAAAAAAAAAAAGTGTCAGCACCAGGTGCACCTCTCTGGGAAGCCCATTCCATAACCAGGGTGCCACCACAGAAAAGGTCCTTCTCTGGGTAGCCATTCTTCTGATCTTCAAAGAGGGCTCCTGAAGAAGGACCTCCACTCCAGGTCTTAGAGGCTGGCCAGGTATATATGGAATACAAATAAGTTACAAGAAAAAAGTGTGTTGATCTGTTTAATATGTGTCACCAGTTCTAGTTTTCAGTAATCTAATCTATACTGCTTTTTTTGCTAGGTTTGCTGAAGCCAAATCCTTGGGTGAAAAAGTCAATGAAATAAGAAATAAAATCAGTAAGTATATTGCCCATGTTCTCTTCTAAACATCTGCATCATCAACTCTCTTCAGAAAAGAATGGTTGTTTTCATGCTGTCTGATACCACTTCTGTGTTCTTTTTTCATGTTCAGCTCTTAAATCCTTGCTACAATGGTTTGGTATTGTTTTAGATACTGTACAACCATGACAGCTGTACTTCTGAAGGCCACCAGAAAAATTAACTATTGCAAAACAGAATAAAACTTGCATAATCATAAGCCACAGAAGGTTCCATAACATTCTTCAGCTGTTACCCTTAACTAGCTATTCAAAAATAATGATCAGTTGTTAAACTGGGCCTTTTCACTAGAATCTGTGTTGTTAATCCTTTTTCTTGATGTCTGTATTCCTACAAATCTTGTTGCTTCTAACTTCTACAATAATTAAAGATGCATATACAATAACATTGAAGCATGTCAGTTCTGATAGTGAACTGGGTTAGAGTCTGAGCATCCATGGAATGTGTGCTCCTCTATAAATCTCATATGTAGCATTGTACTAATTACCAAATCTACCTCACATTATTGGCATGAAGATAAAATGTTCTTCCAAACTCTTAAGTGCAGGAAAGGTGGTTTGAACACACATTTTCTACTCTGAAAACAGATGCTTTAGAAAAGTTTGGATTTACTGCAGAATGCCTGTGAACTAGCCTGCCTGGGGTACCAGTTCATTCCTCTGGAGTTTTCAGATGGCCATGCCGTTTTCTCCTGACACCACCCCTATTTCCCTGACTATTCAGTATCTGGCAGCTTGCTGACTTTTGCGTATTTTCCTCCATTCCAAAAGGTTGAAATGACTCTCCTAAGACTTAGGTACTGGCCATAGGAGCTTCAAGCAGCATTGTTCAGCATTTTGACCCCACCCATTTACTATCAGCAACCCGCATCCCTCACTGGTAAATATGGTCTTCAAGAGCATCCCCTCTATACTCAGCCTCCCCACTGAATAGGGCACTATAGTTTTTGATCTGTTTTGGTTCATTTTTGTATCAACACATTGCCGTCTAGAAATTTCAGCATCAGACTATGGAATCCCCTATATCTGTTTGTAGAGGAACTCAGGAAATGTGAAATGCTTACTAGAATTGAACAGCACTTACACAGTACTAAAGGAATTCTAAAATTGCTGGCAAAGATAAGGGATTATAGAAAAGGAAAGGGAAAAGGTATAGTCTACTCAAGAATGAACATGTTTCCCACTGGTTTCATTAGAGAGTGTTAAGCACATACAGTGGTACCTTGGCTCATGAACTTAATCCATTCCAGGACTCTGGTTGTGACCCAAATTGGTCATGAGCCAAGTCAAATTTCCCCATAAGGTTCAATGTAAATAAGGTTAATCCATTCTGTAACCATTTTTTAAATCAGAAAAACGTGAAGCAAGGTGACAACAAAGATCGCAGCCATCCCCCCCCCCCCCCCCCCACCCCCACAACAAACACCCCCCCCCCCCCCCCCCCCCCGCCCCGCATCCCAAGCACAAGCGCGGCCATCTCCCGGCCCCCCCCCAGCACAACTGAGATCGCACCTGTCATCCCTGCAGACACCTGTCATCCCAGTGCGCTGGAGCTTGGCTGCACTAAAAATGGGTGCAGCAAAGCAGAGCCATGGGGGAGATGGCTGAGATTCCGCTTGTCTTTCGTGCAGCTGCGCGCCTCTGATCACGGATGCCTTCCCTGCACGAAAGCAGCTGCGACCCGTGATCAGAGGCGCGCAGCTGCACGGATGACAAGCGGAATCGCAGCAATCTGCCCCGCGGCTCTGCTTTGCTGCACCCGTCTTTCCTGCAGCCGCATGCCTCTGATCATGGACGCCTTCCCTGCACGAATGGAACTGCGATCGTGGCCATCTCCCCACTCGGGGTGTGGGGGGAGATGGCTGCGATCGTGGTTGCCACCCAAAGCGGTGTTCACGACCCAAGTAAAAAATTTTCAGTAATTTTTGTTCGTGAGCCAAGGCATTCATGAGCCAAGGCATTTGTGAGCCGAGGTACCACTGTACTTAATTGTCCTTATTAAAATCTGTAGAACTTTACATGTTTATTGTTAGCTGGATCCTGGTGAGAAGAAATTGTAAATGGCATTGTTTTCTGCACCTCCCACCCTCCCTCCATCAATGCCCCTAAGATGTAAGCTGTCAGTTCAATTTCAGTTCAATATAAGGAAAATTCTTGAGAGCAGTTCCCCACCTCAGATTCTTCATCTGAACCAAGAAGCATCATTGGAAGAATTTGTTCAGTAGAAAAACGACTTAACTACATATGACTTGGTTTGTAGTATGCACACTCAGTGCATCATTCATTATGCCAAGCATGGCTACTAACCTGCAGGAATTATGCTGGAAAACCAGACTGCAGGAATTATAGCCATCTGTAGCCTGAAGCTATATAATTAATTTACTTTCATTGTTGTTTTGGTTTTCTTTAAGCATTCCTAGCTGCCCCTATGTGCACAATTAAGACTAGATTGTATCAGTATCAATTGCCTGTTTTTCCAGCCAATACTTAATAATATAAAACTCTTCTCCACAAAGATCATTGGAGGATCTTTTGGTCAGCCACTGGTTGCAGTGTAGAATCCATTTTACCAGTCTTGATGATTTGCAGTGATAGTGACAGAGTTTGCTGTAGCTTGAGCATCTGCTGCATATATTTGGTTGCTGAAGTTTTTCATTGGAGTGACCATTGTTTTGCAATAAAGATGTGAAGACTACAGCAGCCACTTCCCAAGTGTTCTACGAGATAATGGTAAAGTTAAAAAGGCATGAACTAAAATAACCAGCAATAACATCCGTTGTTCTTTTAGGTTAGAAAAAGGCTGCCAGTACAATAACTTTGCGTGGGCTTCCATAGAGGTACAGTCCTATTCATGTTTACCGACTGAGGTATGCTGGGAAGTATAGAACATTTATATGTCTAAATAAGCATAGGATTGTACCCTAAAAGACTCTTCAAACACTGTGATTTCTGTAGATTGTTGCAGAGTAGAAGCATACTGTACCAGCTTTGCATTAGCCTCTGTTGACTTTGAATGCTGCTAGTTCAGACAGGACTCCTAGAAATTAACTCAGCTTGTCAATAAAATGACACAAAGTTTCATTACTGTTTTTTTTTTAATGTGGCTGATTCACCCAGGATCAAACAAAAAAATGCCACTTCTAAAAGGCATTGTAATATAATTGAACACATCACTCCCTGTTGCATATCATGTATTAATAGTAACAGTACAGAATAATATGAACATCTCACTGTCTAGAAATGTTGTATATTTTTCTAGAAGTCTGGATTAAACCTTGACAAGATAAGTTCCCTGACTTATGAACATGGAAGTCACATCAGACAGATTCTTTTTCTTTCCATACATATTGTGAAGGTCCTAAAATAATGATGAAAAGAGGATAGTTCCCCATTTTAACTATCTATACTGGTTTCTTGATGCTTTCTTCATCATATACCAGTTTCTGTCCATATTTTTCAATTTGCCTACTGTGTTTTGAAGAAGCTCATCTGTTTCAGCCCCCTAGGATCCAGTATTGACTTCATTTTCATTCTCACACATATGCACTGAAGGAGAGATTTGGGGTCAAAGGAACGAAATAATAAAAGAATGAATCATGGGTGTCTTCACCTGCTATTAATATCCTGTTTGAGGTTTGCGGGACTGTAGTCTTTTTTATCCACCTGGTATGTGAAATATCAGAAGAAGTAATTTTTATTAAAATCTGTGGTTAGCAATATTGTCTCTGTGGAATAACTGAAGTGAACTCAAGTGAAAGCATGATTTGATGTGAAGGAAAATAAGAAAGTTGGGATTGTGAAAATAAGATGCAGCTGTCTTGGTAAATAAGGGAGTGAATGGAAATATGGAATGGACTGAATGGACTAAAAGCTTTGCAGATTACAGCAAGGGGGTCACAGGAGTAAATGTGGACATGTTTGTAGGGAAGCTACAGGTTAAGTTGGGAATGAGATTATGTATAGGAATGAAGATTTCCACATTCTTATCATATGGAAATAAACAAAAGTTCTGTCCACTATAATACATATGGCCTGTTTTTTTCCTTGTTGAATACAGCCATCCAATCATAAATTTTTTTTTTACCCAATAGCTATCCTATGTCTGAATTCTGTCTACACTGGAATAACGTCCATAATCTTGATTCAAGCCACAGGTGACAGAAATGAATGTTCTGATGAATTCTAATTCAGTGGTGTCATGCTGGTCCTTTCCTTTGATATGCCTCTGTTTGAAAATAGATAATTTTAAAGTCAACAGTAGACTGTCCTGTGATTTTATGTAGAAGTGAGGATAAAATTGACACCTGTGTATGTTTCAGAGTTGGGAGCCTGTGTTTCTGTCATTATTTGGCTTGATGTTGCTGTGTGTAGCTAATTTATGCTGAGGGACTGCCTGTGAGCACGCCCGCCACTTAGGAAATATTAGAGGGAAATGTATTGTAGAGCACTGATGATGATGTTTTAAGTAGCTACATGTAACTAATATTGTCATTTTTATTCAATGTCTATCCAGTAACATTATTTCTGGGTATAGGTCTGGCCCTGTGGATCTATTTTTTCACTTCACTGGGTGGGCATTTATGCCAAGACATATCAGAGGTAAATCCTTAAGTTTTGAGTAACTGCCTGAATTCACAACAAGCTATGTTGGAATCCACACAGGCATGGCCTGACATTAGGTGTGAACACAGCATCCATGGGTGAAGCATGACACTTTTGGTTCCCAGGAAACCACACAGAGAAACAACAGTGTTTTATAAGCTTTCCACACTTCACCGTGGTTTATCATTATATGTAACCCCAGTTACAGTGTTTCCTCCCAATTTCTGCTATTGAGTTTAGTGGCAAGAGTGGCCATAGCTACAGCAGATGCTCCAGCCTCCACTTTTTGCAGACCTTTTCTGCCTAACAACTGCTGAGGGCAGCTACAGCTACACTCTGCCTTGCACTACTTTTTTC